AAGGTCCCTTTCTTAGAAAGGCCTTTCCTGATATCCCTATTTCCTGAGAGTACCAAGTACTTTTTTCTCTATCTGAGCACCCTGTTTATTTCCTTTATGGCACTTTTTTTTTTTTGAGACAGTCTTACTATGTTGCCTTTGGTAGAGTGCTGTGGTGTCACAGCTCACAGCAACCTCGAACTCTTGGGCTTAAGTGACTCTCTTGCCTCAGCCTCTCAAGTAGCTGGGACTACAGGCGCCTGCCACAAGGCCCAGCTATTTTTTGGTTGCAGTTGTCACTGTTGTTTAGCAGGCTGGGGCTGGACTCAAACCCACTAGCCTCCGTGTATGTGGCTGGTGCCCTACTCACTGAACTATGGGTGCTGAGCCTATGACACTTTTTTTTTTAAAAGGTTAATTGTGGCTGGAGCTACAATGCCTTGGTTCAAATCCCAGCTCAACCACTTTCTAGTTCCTCTAGTTACTCAATGAAATGTGCTGATCGGACCAGGAATTTATATTGAAGTGCTGGCTTAGGTTGTGACCATGGGACTAAAAAGGAAAAGCTAGATACGAACCAGGTCAAAGGCAGAATCAACAAACGAATTCAGATGGCGAGGGAGAGAAATAGTAACGCTAATTCCAAGGAGAGAAGAGGAGAAATTTCTGGGGATAGTGGGGAAAAAAGTCAATCGATTACATAAGAAAAGAGCATGAAAAAAACAAAAATGATTCCAAAGTTTTTTGCTTGAGGGATAGGACAGAGGCTAGCAGGCTAGCATCCCTTAACTACTCTGGAGGGAAAAGGAGGAGCTATGTCAAAGCCGTGTTTAAAATGAGTTGGCTGTAAGAACACAGTTGTAGATTATTTGTTTTCAAGAGTGATGGGCCCTAACAGAAGAATGCTTAGAACAGACAATATTTGGTTTTCTGCTCATTGTGTGTTAGAGATTTAAAAGTAGACCTTCCATTTGACCCTGAAATCCCATTACTAGGCATTTACCCAGAAGAACAAAAATCACTTTACCACAAAGACATTTGCACTAGAATGTTTATTGTGGCTGAATTCATAATTGCCAAGTTGTGGAAGCAACGTAAGTGCCCATTAACCCATGAATAGATCAACAAACTGGTATATGTACACCATGGAATATTATTCAGCCTTTAAAAAAGATGGAGACTTTACATTTTTACATTTACGTGGATGCAGTTGAAATACATTATTCTTAGTAAAGTATCACAAGAATGGAAAAATAAATATCCAGTGTACTCCATACTAATACGAAATCAATACATAAACAATTACATGCTCATAAGAACAATAAAACACTAATATAGACCAGTTTGGGGACAGAGGGAAGCGGCAGGGGGAGGATGTTTGGCAGAAGGAAGGATCTCACCTAATGTGCACACAATGTGAGGGTATATAACATGCCCCCAGGGTGAGGGGCTCTTCTACAAATGGAACTTTACCCTAGAAGTGAAAACAGTGTAACCTAAAAATTGTACCCTCATATTAACTTGAAAAAATAAAAAAATACTCAAAATAAATAAATAAATAATAAAAAGAAATTATGGCAAGAAAACTCATAAAAACGAAAACATTGACTTGCATGGAGAAGGACAATCTTTATTACTCAGGACAATGTTTTTTTTTTGAGCCAAAGTCTTATTTTGTTACCCTTGGTAGAGTGCTGTGGTGTCATAGCTCACAGCAACCTCAAACTCTTGGGCTCAAGAGATTCTCTTGCCTCAGCCTCGTGAGTAGCTGGGACTATAGGCGCCCATCACAGTGCCCAGCTATTTTTAGAGATGGGGTCTCAGTCTTGCTGAGGCTGGTCTTGAACTCATGAGCTCAGGTGATCTGCCTTCCTTGGCCTCCCAGAGTGCTGGGATTACAGGTGTGAGCCACCACAATGTTTTTTATCATTGATAAAAGATATTTAATATACTGCTGTCAAATTCCTTTTGGAGGAAATAAAGCACTGATTGAGCCTAAGGAACTACATGGTAAGGGGTGTGTTTCCCAGTTTTGACCTACCATCTACCTTTGGAAGGTAAAACAATGTGTCTCAAGTTGCTTTTATAAAGGGAAGCTTGGTCATCTCCTTTTTTGTAAGGACCTTGTGCTATTTAATTCAAAATTGTACAACATTCCTTTTGTTGACACGATTTCATGGCACTCTTCATTCCAGGCTAAAGCTTCCTGTCATGATTTTTGGGCATCCTATTGGAAACATCTGGACCTTCTGACCTGGCAAACTTCTGAGACCTTTCAGGATAGCTGAACTATAGATAAAGATCTTCCAGGGAAGTAGGTGTGGACAGGATGTGTGATTTCTCGGCCTCTCATTTGAACACTGATTCAGTTAATTTCTCGTGAACATTATATTACAATAAAAGCTGTATTCCAGAGATGCTGAAAAGGACAAGCTAGCTACTGATCTTTGAGACGACAGCACTATCTTTGTGAATGTCACAGAAATAAACAGCAGGGAAACTGTGCCCCCTACTCTAATCTCAAACTAGTCTCCTCTGCTAGTGTGACCCTGAGGACTCACATTAGCCATAACAATAACAACAGGGCATGCACTTGTTTACGGAATCATCTGGAACTGAGCAGGAAGACATGATAACATGTGCTTCAGTCTGGCTCAGAATGGGTGCACGGCAGCCTGAACCCAGGGAAGACGCTTCTGAACTTTAGTGATGTAACACACACAGATTCTTTCTCTGACATTCCAGGCTAACCACTGTCTAAGTGGAGGCTCTGCAAAACATCTGGGAAAACTTTCTGGAAAAAATTATGGCATCTTTTCTACAACTGACCCTGGTCTGAGCACTGTGAGCTCCGGGCTGACAGGGGGCTCAGCAGCAGGACTACCTGCGTGCCGGGGAAGCTGCCCCGCAGCACAGACCAGAGACAGATTCAAACATGAATAAAGTGCAGACGCTACTGTCCCTAAAAGAAAATCACTTTCTCTTTAGAAAAGCAGAGAATCATTTCTCTATTCTGCCCCTGGCTGAACCACACACAGTAATATAATGTCTGATACCCATGTCTACAGGTTGGGAGAAACAGAGCCAGTGCTTGAGAGTCTGAGGATTCAACGATAAACTACCACTTGGCTGCCCCATGGCCACTGAATTCAGACGGCAAAGTGCTCTTGCCACCTAGGACATCAAAGAAAATGTCTTGATCACAGGAGTGATCAAGGCATTTTTCTAAAAGAAATGAAATGGCTGGGTGCCTGTAGCTCAATGGTTAGAGCACCGGCCCCCCTGCACCAGGGGTGGCAGGTTCAAACTTGGCGAGGGCCCACTAAGCAAAAAACAAAACCAAAGAAAATGAAATGCTTGTTCTTTTAGAAAAAATCTCAGGATTTTAATTTTACATCATGACTCTTCACTAAAATGCATTCTTCATTAATTATTTACCATTTATTAGATGCTTATAAAAGATTCAAGAGAAAAAGTATATAATCAAATACTACAGGAGGTCTTTTCATTTTTTGTTGCTGTTGGAGGAACAGAGCTTAGAAGGGGGGAGTGGAATTCCTGTGCAAGGAGCCACCTGGGCCAAGCACTACACGAGGTGTGGTGCTCCTGTCGTGGTCATGTGGCACCACCGGGAACACAAGGTCTCAAGTGGAGCCAGCTATTAATGTGTGAGATCTAAAATGAGAGTCCTTTGTTAAAAAAATTATTAAAAAAATTCAAGAGTGACAGCAGAGTACTAAGCCAAGACTGGGGTCCTCCTAAGCATGGACCCGAGGTGACTACACAGGCTATCGACCCTTGAAATGGGCCCCAGTCTCAAGCCAAGCCACCTCGAGTTGGTTTCTGACTTTGCCACTTACTAGTCATGTGATCTTGGGAAGTCATCTGTAGAATGGGGATTATAATAGTTCTCACTTCAAAGAGTTCCCATTAGGATTGAATGAGAAAACATTTGTGTGCTTGAAGAAGACCTGGCACACAGCACGTACGATACAAATGTTTAGTAAATACAGGGCATACGGAATACTTGGCATACAGCAAGCCTAAACATCTCAAGGTAGTAGAGACAACTACAGCCATGACATTATGTAGTCATTACCAAAATATTTTTTTAATGTTTTGAGAATCTGAATTCCTGATAAATACAGTCACGTTTTCATTACTATGACAGTGGTCACCTTTTAATTTATTTTAACAATTAAACAAGAGATTTTAAAAGATACTCTGGATTGAAGCCAACTACTCATAAAGCAAGACTGAAGGACAAAAAAAGATACTGATTTATGCTCAAGGTTCTGCAAACTTGTGGAGTGCAAATTGTCATGAAGCCAATTTAATATAACTGCTTCCTTTATGCTGAAAAGAATCACGGGGGACATCACTGTTTCCATGCAGGAAATAAAGCCTATTGTATTTAAACAAAAACTAAAATATAACTTTCTTTTTTCTCTCTCTTTCTCTTTTTTTTTTTTCTTTTGAGACAGTGTCTCACTCTGTCACCTTGGATTAAGTACGATGGCATCATCCGAGCTCATAGCAACCTCACACTACTGGGCTCATGCGATCTTCTTGCCTTGGTCTCTGTAGTAGCTGGGACTACAAGCACCAGCTATCCCACCTGGCTAATTTTTTCTATTTTTGGTAGATACAGGGTCTTGCTCTTGCTCAGGGGTCTCAAGCAATGCTCTCGCCATGGCCTCCCAGAGTGCTAGGACTACAGGCATGAACCACCACGTCCGGCCACATATATTTCTTCTTTTTCTTTTCTTTTTACAATGCAGAATACTGTAAGAAAAACAAAGCTATAGAACAGGAAATGTTACTAATCATATAAACTTTATATTTAGTCCTAGAAAACAACTACTACAAAACAGCCACAAGATAACTTACAAGTAGTGACATGCTTTTTAAACACATTTTGATTAAAGATACAAGTAGTTTTTGGTTACAGGGATGTACGGTAGTGATAACTGGGAGTGACATACACTTTTATCTAGAAATCTGGCACACAGAGGCATAAACATTTAATGGTTACTATTTACTAATGTTTGTTTTGTAAGAGAAGCCTCAGTTTCTTCACTGAGACATTTTGACTTCTCACCATCAATAATTCTCAAGACTTTCAGAAGCTTTTACAAAAAACATGTAGGTTTTTCTTTCACTTATAGTAAGTATTATGTTTGACTGCAAAATTCTCAAGTAAATTGACATTTGTTAAACAATTCGCCCAAGGTACACAGATTTGGGATACTTCTCCTTCAGAGTCGGCCACTGGACAATGAAGTAATCCGAGAGATGAAACAGAATCTTTCCGGACATGGATAAAGTTTCTACACGGCAGATGCTTTCAACGTAGACAATGATCACTTTCTTTATTCCTAGGATTCCAAGGAGAAGGGCAGATAGACAGATAGGAACACATGTTCCTGGTCCGTTACACAACACCTTAAAAAAAAAGTTGAAGGTCAGATTAAAATACAGGATATTAATCTAAGTGAAGCATTTTGCTTAAGAACAATCTGACCTTTGAGGGAATTTGTTTATAATTCTAAGTCTTCTTTTGCCAAGAGCAAGGATGCACCCAAAAGTGTGTTTAATCTGTGCACTTAGGAGCAAGCTGGGGCTGGTATCAGGTGGGCCAAATCACTTAACTTGTACCTTCTAGCAGGGTGCTTGGTGCTCAGTCAGCACACTCAACAGGCGTGAATGAGGTGCTTTTCCTACTGCTTGGGGATCTTGGATGTCGTACACATAAATAGAAAACAGATCAAATCAACTAAGGTTCACTCAGGGCTCTTTTGGGTACCAACTTATTTCTGATGTAGGAGAAAATGCCTTTAAGTGAATAATTAGGTAGAATATTTCTGTAGGATGTGGCATCATTTTAGGGGTTCAATCCAACAAAGGAAATTTTTCAGGAGAAGACTACTACATGGCTGAGATTTTTTTGCAAGAGAGTTTAATCTCTGCTTGACATACAGAAGAGTTTTAATGCTTTTGAATTTGGCTAATTTTTACAGAAAGACACTGGTTAAAAGCAATTTAACCGACTAACTCAACAAGGGAAGTAAACTCATAAGCAACTGTAAATACTTTTTATAAGTCTTTCAAGATAATGAGAGGAAACATATTTCATAGAATTGGTGGTAAGATAATTTATTACTATTTTCAGAGGAAAAAGTGTTTTACACATCTTAACCATCGCTCATATACTGACTGAATTCACAAAACCTAACAGAGCATTTTATTTCACAAACTGTTAAACAAGAGGCTTGTGGCCGTCTACACATCCCTGTTGGGCATGATCTATCACGTCATGACCTGATCAGCCCAGAGTCCACAAAGCTGAGCAGGTACCAGATAACCTTACAGGTGGAAGTGTCCTCAGATATGCTGACTATACCAACCCAGCATTGCAGGGAGAGACGGACAGACAGCCTGCTTCCACGTGAATGTGGTCAGGAATGCAAGGGTGTGATGAAGGTCATCTGGTCTAGGCTCTACCTTCTGGAGTTGTGACCACCGGGAACATTATCCTCAGGGCTTTGGGAAGTGGAAAGGTTGACTGAGTCAGGTTCCTATAACTCAAATCCCCTTTCTGTCTTTTATGGAGAATTTTCCTTTAGACTGTCTCTTGAATTACCAGCTACTAAGCTGCTCTCCAGAGTGGTCTTTTTTAAACTCTATTAAGTTGCCCCATAACCTTTCCTCATAGTTCCTCAAGGTGGTGTAACAGAAAGAAAATGGGACTAAGAGTCAGGGGAACAGGGTTAAACAAACTGCAAATTAGCTCCCTGACTTTGGGCAAAGGCAATAATGACAATCGCCACTTGGTGCTCCTCACCACTACTTATTAACAAATTGCCATGGCCGGGTCTGTACTAAATCAATCAATCAATCAGTCTATCTATCTATCATCTCTTAAGCCTCACAGTAATCATTTGAAGGAAGTTTTACTATTCCTTTCTGGAGATGAGGAAACAGGCATAAGTGGACTGGGCAGGGCTGCCTGATCACATGGTAAGAGAGTGAAGGAGTTAATGTTGCTTCAGCTCCATTTCTTCCTGTGTGACTCTATCTAGAAATGAGTAGACTGAGACCAAATGATTTTCCCTGTCAGTACCAGGACTCTATAATTTTATGACTCTAATTTGCCTCTAGTTTTGTCTTAAGCCTAAATTACGAACTTGCTTCTGAATCCTTTCAGGGTCTGGAATTCTAAAAATCCTATTAATGCAAGACATTATTGACATTTTGGATTCAGTAAATTTTAGCTGGGGGCCTGTGCTTGCATTGTTGCATGCTTAGCAGTTTCCCTGGCCTCCACTCACAAGATTCCAGTAGTCAAGACAATCAAGAATGACTCCAGGCATTGCCAAACGTCTCTAGTTGACAACCACTGCATTAATGTAGGCTCTAATCCTGGGATAATTTGTGTTGCTTTTCTCCATCTTTTTTTGAATAATACAGAGAAAAAATAAAAACCATAGTTAAAAAAATAATGTAAGGATTGCTTGTTGGATCTCAAATGTTACAAAAATATTTCTGTATTTTTGCTCTTTGAAAAATGTACACATCCAGGGCGGCGCCTGTGGCTCAAAGGAGTAGGGCACTGGTTCCATATGCCAGAGGTGGTGGGTTCAAACCCAGCCCTGGCCAAAAAATGCAAAAAAAAAAAAAAAAAAAAAGGTACACATCCAGATGTATTCATTTCAACATCTGGTCAACCCTCTATTTATAAGCTATGTATACCCCGATGGAGATGTCTATATGAGAGGGGAAATAATTGGGCATTTGGTGGAAAATGTATTAACAACTTGCTACAGATGAGTAGTCTATTAAGGTGAAAAAGGAAATTAAAGGTATTTCATTTATCTCTGTTGTGTCTATATTTTGAGCCACTTTGCTTCAAAAATAGTAAAATAAAGCCACAAAACCATAAATCAACAATCAAAAAAAAAATCAAACTAATCTCTAGGGAAACCTACACTAAGGAAAGCTACTATAATTAGGCATGGGTTTTAACTCTAAATTTTATAGTAGCCTAGACAAAAATTCTTTAAAATGTGGATTATGAGGGCGGCACCTGTGGCTCAAAGGAGTAGGGTGCTGGCCCCATATGTCGGAGGTGGCGGGTTCAAAACCAGCCCTGGCCAAGAAAAAAAAAAACTGCAAAAAAAATTTTTTTAAAAGTGGATTATGGAGCTTTCATTATCAAGCAAGCATATCAGAGAGACTTAGTCCAAGCACTGAAAAAAAACAGAATTCACCTAGACCAGTGGTTCTCAACCTTCCTAAGGCTTCCTAATGCCTTGACCCTTTGATAGAGTTCTTCATGTTGTGGTGACCACCAACCATAAAATTTTCATTGCTACTTCATAGCTGTAATTTGGCTACCGTTATGAATTGTAATGTAAATATCTGATATGCAGGATGTATTTTCATTGTTACAAAGGGGTCGTGACCCACAGGTTGGGAACCACTGACCTAGACAGTCTGAGTAAAGATGATGTCAAACAATGTAATGCTTAGAGCCATCTCTTCAATTTTATAAAAACCATAGACATATTATTTATACTTCCATTACTCAAAACATGAATTCTTGATGAGCGTGGGACCGTTGTCCTGGCCACCTCTCTTCTTCACTACTTTCTAAGCTTCTTATGGGTAAGGTCCACTTCTGGGACAATCTATACTCTGTACCTGGAACACAGTAGGTGCTCACTGAATTTTGCTGAAAGCAAGTAAGAAGGAAAGGAAGAAGCAAGAGGGTATGGGAAAAGGGAATCCTTCCTTATCCTATGTGGCTCCCTTGCCCAGGCTTGACCATTTTTAACTTAAACTAGACATTTATCATGAACACTTAGTGGTTGGCTGCCCTAGTGGTTGTAAGTGACAATCCCACACCCATCAGCTCTATCTTAGTGGAACCACTGTATCACTCATTCTCAGTTTAAGTGCTTGAGTAGAGCCACATCAACTTATAAGGAGAGGATACATGACTCCAGTGTGACCAAATGACTGTAGTCTGACCAATCTTGTGAAACTCGCTGGTTCGGGAAAGAGTATATAATTTAGTCAGAAACCACAAGACTTAGCGCGACCTTTGTTGGGGCTGCAAAGAGCATGATGCCCTTAGTATTGTTCTGGTCCTAGGGGGATGTGGACTTGGTACTGATAACATCTATTTTGCTACCATGTGGAGAATAAAGCCATCACAAAACAGAAAAGTGCTGAGAGATGAAGACAGGCCAGGTCCCAAAAGCAGCATTTTAGATCCATGGATCCAGCTGTGCCTGAAAGAAACCAAATCTATCTCTAGGCTTGCCAGGTATGCGAGAGAACACATTTGATTTTTGCTTAAGCCGATCTGAATCACAATTTCTGTCACTGGCAATAAAAAGCATACTAATTGCCATAGCTTTTTATTTTGTCTAACTCCCTGACTGGCCTTTGATCATTTGTAAAGCAAGGTTTTCTTGCACTAGGTATTCAGTATGTGTCTGCTGGATGAATTAACTCATCAATAAATAAACTTCTTTGAGAGTAGAAAATCTAAGAGATATACTAAAGAAAATATAAGTTATGGGTCTAGAAAACAGAAAGAGGCCAGGACTAATACAAATATGAAGTCATGAGCATAGATGAGTCAAATCAAGGATTAAGAATAGTTACAACAGGACTGCTGTTTTGTGCATTTGGGTCACCACAGTCAAGTCCCACTGGCTCAAACATAATATCTATGTGTATGAAAAGACACATTGAACTTGAGTAGTCTGAATTTGACTTCTTTATTTTTTTGTTTTTTGAGACAGGGTCTCACTATGTTGCCCTAGGTAAAAGGCTGAAAAGGCCGTGGTGTCACAGCTCACAGCAATCTCAAATTCTTGGGTTCAAACGATTCTCTTGCCTCAGCCTCCTGAGAAGCTAGGAATACAGGTGTCCGCCACAACGACCAGCTATTTTTTGGTTGCGTTTGTCATTGTTATTTAGCAGGTCTGAGGCCGGGCTTGAACCCACCAGCCTTGGTGTATGTGGCTGGCGCTGCATTCACTGAGCCATGGGCGCCACACCCTGAATTTGACTTCTAGCCCAATAGGAACATCCCCTGTCCCAGAATATAAGCCAAGATCCCCTGGGGTCTTGGGTTGGTTTGTAGGCCAGAGACCACAAAGCTGACAGTGATCCGAGAGAGCATGTGAAGATGAGATTGAAAGCCAGATGCAAAGTCCAACTAGGGCTTCAATCTTAAGGGACTGGACACAGAAGCATGGGGCACTGGACACCAAACCAGACTGTCTGACAGCCTCCTCTGATGAGGGTGGAGGCTGGAGAGTGCTCATGAACTACAGGAACACAGCCGGAGGAAGGTTTTGTTAGGCTGCTAGGGCCAGGGATGAGGCCAGAGAACTAAAGCCTGCTGTCAAAGCTGAGCAGGCTCAGAC